GAAGAAGAATAGGAAAGGGTTGTGGGTTTTTTTGCTTTCCATTAATACATGGGGATAGAACTGATAGGCGAAAAAAAAGATTGCAGATTTAAAGAACACTTGCTAGCGTGTGTGCCAGATGCTGATAGCTATATATAGCCACTTGAACGAGAATGACTGCTGAGACTGTCTTCTCCAGGCAAATAGGAATTTGCCTGAGTAAGATCAGGGCAAAAATAAAAAAAATAAATAAAAAAAAATAAATAAAAAATATCAACATTTAATCTATTGTGCATTTCATCTGCTGCAGAAGTTGTGTAAGTACTCTGTGAAGTGGAATAAGAACATGTCCTCAGGATGACCTTATCTACATTTCACATAAGCGTGTTCCCAAATTTAACAAAACCCAATCTATCCTTTTTACTGTTAGACTGCTAGTCATTCTTGAATACAATCTTGGTTTCTTTGCTTCGTAACCCTTAGAGAAGTAAGCAAAAGACAATACATAAGGCTTATTTAATGTAATAAAAAGCAACCTGCTGCCTGTAAGATGAAATTCAAAAACAGAATGCTGATATAAAGAACATGATTTGCCATCTTAGGTTTTTCTTATTGTCTCATTCACCAGATTTTAGAGAGAGAGGCACTTTATTTTCTCTGTACCCTGGTATCACATTTCTCTTCCCTTCTATCCAATATAGTGGTTTTTACCTACAGCAATATAATTTCTAAGTAGTTCAAAATGTGAAATAGCAGTACTTGAGATGACAAGCTATCATTTCTAAGAGCAGTATGATAATTTTGGAGGGAAAGTTGGGTATGGATTCTAATTAACACCAATGAACCTGGCTCCTAAAGATTAAATTCCCAAATGAGTAACTGTTTCCTTTCTACACACAGGTCTATCCAAGTTATTCTCATTAAAACAATTAAAAAAAAATTATAAGCTTCAGTCTGTGTCAAGATATTGAAGGCTTTCCAAAACTGATTAAAAATATTAAATGCAGTATTGAACTACATTAAAAATCAACCTTTTCCTGTACTGAAAAGTAATGGTCTATAATTTGTATTCAAGTGATTTTATTTCCAGTGAATAATGACTGTGCTGCAGCCAACTTTGTGCCCTGTTTCTCTGAAAATCTCAAGGGATGCACAGAAGAGGATTTTGTATCGTGCTGAAGATACACATGCTTTGCGTGACATTGCTTCTTATTCTTCAGTTCTTACAGGGAGGCTTAATTTTGTTTCATTATGTGTTTATTTTTCCACTGATGGTTCCTTCAAACTGGTAAGCACAAGTGAAAATGCATAGGTATTAGATATACTGAAAGGCTCTTGAAAGTACTATAAGCTAAATGGAAGTGCATGGAAACAGAGGACTCAATTTCAATGCATTTGTAAGTGGACTTGCAAATCTGATCTATACGAATATACTCCTGTTTCTTGCTCTTTTTCTGTGGAACTTGAAGTTGCCTGTAGTCACATGATGATCAAAATAAAACTGAAATGTCACACAGAAGTGCTCATCACTTCATGTGCCCCATCTCTGCACAAGCTGAGGAAATGGTAATTTCTCACCATTCACTTCTCTACTTGGCCAGGCCAGGCATCTTCTCCCTTGCCCCCTGCCTCTCAGTTTTTGAGTCACGTTTTATCTCACACCTTCACCTTGCATCCACATCTTGCTTCCTCTATTTGCATCTTTTTCCATTGCAGCCTTCTGCAGTTCAATTTTCAGGTCAGCTAAGCAGCTGTAGAACCTGTCTAGTCCAAGCTGAAAGGTACAGACTTTGGACCTAGCATCACTATGAGCACATTTTAAGAGCTGAAAGTAGAAAAAAATAATATGTGTAATGACAAAATCAGACATGCAGACAAAAAGCAAACACTGTAGAAGTGGTCTAGAGGGTGGTGGTCAGTAGCACAAAGTCCTGCTGGAGGCCAGGCATTAGTGGTGTGCCCCCACAGCCACTACTGGGAGCAATACTGTTTAACAACTTCATCAGTGATCTGGATGATAGGTCAGAGTGCACCCTCAGCAAGTCTGGAGATGATAGAAAACTGGGAGGAGTAGCTGACACACCAGAGGGTTGTGCTGCCATCCAGGGGGACCTTGGCAGGCTGGAGAAATGGGATGACATGGACCTCAAAAAGCTCAATAAGTGTAAACATAAACTCCACAATAAGGGGAGGAATAACCTCAGCAATAGTACAGGCTGGGGGCTGACTGAATGGACATGAGTTCATCAGGGAAGAACCTGGGGGTCCTGATGGACAATAAGCTCACCATGAGCCAGCAACACTTCACAGTACTGCCTACACTAACCCCCAGAGCACACTAACAACTGCCCTAACAAGCCCACCTCAGTCACACACCTGTTTTAGCAGACATAAAGCTCTGTTCCACCACCTGCACTCCAGATAACCCAAGCTGTTTGCCCCTCAACTCCTTCCCACACTCTACCAGCTGCTCTTAGGCAGCTTTCTGCCACTCTCATTTCTGTCTCCATATAGCTTCCCAGACACTGTTGTAGCCCACTTATCAGCCTGCTTTCCCTCATAATCATCCTATATGGCATCTCTAGTCTTTCCATGGCCACTAGGGATACAAGATCTTTCCTGGCCATCACCGTTAGCATCACTCTGAACAAGAGAGGCCTCATTTTGCCTGCAAATGTTCACAGGACAATGACAGCTTTTGTGTTGAGAATAGCTTAAAACTTCTGTCCCTAGTAGGGGACAGTGAACATTTGATGCCAGTAAGTTTTATGAGTTTGAAAGCAGAGATATAAAAAATGCATGGAAATTCTTACAAAACTGTGCTAGGAGACGTATGATACAAATAACAAGAATGGAAAACCACTTTGAAATAAAAAGAAATATGATTGAAAATTAAAGGGAGGGTTGATTAGGCAACACTGACTGAAAAAAACTTTCAGTCTTGGTCAGTATTTCTCCCTGTAGCAATACCAGCTGGTTACCAATTTAATCTTGTGCCACTTGGGATGGAAGACATTAGAACAAAGGAAATGTCAGGATGAAGGAGAAAAAAGCTGGGCACTTGTACCACTATGACTCTTAGCCCTCCAACATGAGATCTAAACATTGTCATTCATTAGCTCCAATTTCTAAACCCAACACCTACAGTACCTATTATTTTTTTTCTACTAATTTGTCCATAATTTTTTATAATCACTTAGCTCTTTTTTTAACCTACCAGACAATGTTTTTGTCCACCTCCTTCAACTGCAGCTGAATATTTTCATTATGTTATCAAATACTATTTAATTAATACTGCATCCCACAAAATCTGTGAGAAGTTGGTGAACACTTTAGTAGCTCTCTCCTACCACAGCCTACATTGCCATCAGTATCTAAGCAAGTGAGTTTTAAGCAAATATGTCTACATGTCTAGGAACTGCAGTGTAAATTTACCCCTGTGCATCAGCATGGATTACATACAAGAAATGAAAGCTTTCTTTCCTGGGGTAGGCAAATTTGGAATGCAAATGGTAAAACCTGAATTTCAGACAAACAAATGATTGCCTATCAAAATTCCTTTCCAAACTAGTCCTTAGAGTATTGCATACATGTAAAGGGGGGAAAATTGAAAGATCCAGACAGTTGCCACAGGCATCTTAAATTCTTACAATACTTCCCACTTGCAGATAGAAGCACAAGTCGGAAAGAGGTAATAATAGCTAAATGGATATTAGTATCTGCCATTACCTGATCTATCTGCACAATTACAGCAGTTTGTGAATGCTAAATTTGCTAAATAAAATCTGTCTTAAAAGCCTAAAACAATCCCTTTTCAGGAACAACATACCACCTAGATGTTGTTTGGAACTGATGGAACTTTCACTTCGAAAAAAACCACATGGGTATAATGTCTAAAAGAGCTGGGAGAAGTAATTGCTTCCAGAGAGACTTCTTTCCCAAACCAACCTGAAGGGGGAATACAATAGTCAACTCCATTTCTGAAAAACAGGTATTAAGAGGCCAGAGAACTCCACTAAAAATTAGATTTTCCTTCTCCTTTAACAACACCAGAAATAAAAATGTTAAGATTAAAAACACCTCAAGACACACCACAGCTGTCAAATAAGAGTAAACAATAATTGTCTCTGCTCTGTGAAAGTCACAGTGATTCTGACAAATGGAGTAACTTAGTCCTATAAATACTATAAGTTTTTTAAGTCATGGGAGATCTATCAATTTGCACAAGAGTGTGATGTGACCATCTTTGTATTGGCACACAGGCCTCTGAATAAACCTGAGAAAAAAAAGAAATCACCCTTTATTCTGTCAAAATCAACCATTTCCTCCTCATCCAAAAATATCAAATGGAAAACCACGGACTGTATAAGTGATAAAGCAAGGTGTCCTACTGGCATAAACGGAATGTGAAGTAAATGAACGTATGTTGTCTAGAAGCTTTTTCAGGTATGTTCTCATACTTGCAGCGTGGCTGGGTTTCTACAGATGGTGACTTTTCAGGAAGCAAGCCTCAGTCTTCTTAGAAATTGGTTTGAAACGGAAACAGATACGATGAACTAAAAGGAGAGTGTCATTGTTGTATCCTCATCTATTCCACAAATTTCGTATTATTTAAGGAATTTATTTAGACTGCAAAACTACTTTGACATCATTGACATCAGCAGAACTACTTCTTAGCACAAGCACTTCATTTGATCATTGCCAAAGACAAAGAAGTCCACAAAACATGAACAGTTATAAGTAATACACCTGACTAGAAAAGCCAGTGAAGTAGTATACCCTACTAGAAAATATGCCATTGTAAGAAGTGTTGGAAGTGTCATGGCCCTGAAGGCAGCATTTCACTGTTGAGATATCTTTACATTGCTGTGAGGCTATTTGCAATATACTACATAAATGTTAATTTAAAAAAAAAGGTAAATGTGCAAACTAATATGTTAAAAACGTGTAAAGCGACAGATGCCATTTGTATCATCCATCCATCCAAGGGGAGGTGATGTAAAAGGCGTAAAACCACTTACCTCTTCTTGCTTAGGAATGCTGAATTTGGCTATCTTTGACTTGGTCCTGGTTGAATCAGGCTTGTTAGAAGGCACTCCCCTATATGACTTGGTTGTCTCTGCTGGTAACTTCAGCTTTGGAGACTCGTCAGGAGCCTGGTCTTGACCATCCATTGGCCTGACATAAGCTGTTGGTTTCTGCTGAACCAGACTGGGCTTCGAAGCAAGAGAGGGCGGGAAGTTTTGGACACAGTGCCCACCACTGTGTTTTGCTGGCCTCTCTTGAGCTTGAGCTCCTCCTTCCGAGCTACCATTGAGCTTTGCTGGCTGCTGCACTCTGTTGACATTGTCTCCCAGTGTGGTCCTCAGTGAGCTTTGCTGGGCAGCGTTAGAGGAGGAGGAGGAAGAAGTGGGGCTCGGTGCATAGCGTTTTAGTTTGTCCAGACTGGATTTTTGGTTTGCCAGTTTGAAGTCACCCTTGTGTGACTCTAGTGACCGGTGCCCATGCTTGCTCGCTCTCTGTGGGCCATCTGAAGTGGCGTTGTGCCCAGCCTTCTGCCAGCCCATCGTGGTGCTTTTGCTCTGTTGGGCAGGTTGGGCTGCTGGTGTGGAAGTAGTAGTGCTGGAAATGGAGGGAGGAGGTGGTGGTCTTGAGTCTGCAATAAGATGCTCATTGGGGTTGAGGAGAGATGTTTGAGGGACCCCAGGTTTTGGAACCCCAACAAGGTGACTCTGGTTTGATCGGTCAGTTAATAAGTCTTTCATTTCATCATAGTTGCCCAGCGTATTCTGGATGCGGTTCGAGAGCTCATCCCCCTTGTTAGTCTGAAAAACAAAAATCAAGAGTTCTGCAAGAGTCAATGTATGAAAAAAAGCCAAATTCCCTGACTGCTTCTGCTGAAATTCTTACTGAAGTAGGACCAGCTTATTCAGCAGTGGCGTTGAGGGATGAAATCGAAAATCCTTATTGTCTCTGAAGACACTTGTCAACATCTTAAATCTACCCTGAACTGGAAAAGCTATAAAGGGCCTTAGAGTACATAAAAAAAGAAATCTATCACTGGTATCATGCTGTAGTTAAAGTATATTACCTGGAAACTAGAAAATTTATTATTGCAACTACACAGAATGTTTTGGATTAAATCTGACCATGACACAACTTTTCCTGCAGCCCAGTGTGAGCTCTCCTTCACCCATGAATGAAAACACTGCATTCCCAATTTCCAATTTCATATTTCCAATTCCAATTCCATATTTCATATTTCCGATGAAATTTCCAATTTTATATTGCAGCTGGGAACATCCACTGTAAGCACTGAATGAATTCACCGGGTATAAGCCAACCAAATATTCTGAGGTGACTTGAAGAACACTCGTGGGACAATGGAAAAACTACAGGTGATTCTGTCCCTTCTTTGAAAACTCTCTGAGAGGATAGTTCCTCTAGGGCACTCTCCTCTTTGAAAAAAAAAAAAAAAAGAAAAGCCAATACAACCTCTCACATTCTTCACAATGCTCAGTGCTTGCCATGTGCAGCAGGGGAGACACAGCTATGCTTCCACCTCTTTAAGATTAATTATTTTATTTTAAAACATCCATTTATTTCCTGAATGAAGAGGGTCCACAAAGAAATAAAACAAGAAAAGAAAACATGCTGGAAAAGATTGACAACTTTTGTTTTAAAAGCCACTGTAAGCAAAAGGGTGTATCATTAGCATCTATGTAGCTGAGATTTTTCTGAGCCCTGCCAAGATTCAGGTGTGTGATGTTCTTTGCTGCAGGTTTTCAGAGGAAGATAGTAATGAGCCAGTGGTGTTCTCCCTTCTCTGTTCCAGACATGGGGTCTGGATAGGAAAACTCCCATTGGATTCAGAAGGCAAAGCTTTTATCTCAAGACTCTCTGTTTTAGAGAAAAAAAGAAAGAAGGAGAAGGAAGGGAGTAAAGGGAGTGGACAGACCCACTGAAAGGTATTAAAAATATGAAAGGTGTAACAGCAACATTAGTATTTTTGGTTTAAGACTTAAAATGAAATTGAGTCACTCAAATAAAAATGTATAGGGAAATTCCCTTATTACCCAATTTTTTTTAGGGTTTCCTATAAAAAAACCTGAGTCCAAGTAAATATGCCCCACAAATGAGCGCAGTGATTGCCACATGCTAATTTTCAGAGGAACTCTGTGGAAGGTTTCCTAAGCTAGGCAGTAGAAGCAGTCCTGCCTTGCTTGAAACTCATCCCCTCAAATTTCAAGGACACTACCTTGTAACTACACAAAATACATTACAGCTAGCTTTCTGATATGCATTTGTTACAATGCTGTCCTAACAGAGTTGAATATATATCATAATATATATGGAAGGGTAGAGAGAAGGGAAAAACTCAGAAGTACTGCATTCGAAACACTGCTTTGCAAACTTGGAATAAGATGGCTCAGCTCCTACAGACTGAAGATGCAATTGTGGTTGTCACAAGGACAATAACCTGCTACAAAAAGTGGGAATTATCACATACATCTGAAAAGAAAGATGGTTGGAGATACTCTTGTGTCTCCTGGGGTCAATGAAATGGCTTCTACACTTGGGCATCTCCTTGACCAGCAGAATTACTTTCTGGAAGGCACAGAAAATTTTCCGTTTACCCAGTGGATCTCTTCTGTGCTTCCAGTGGATCCTCCAACTTCTGTACATACCTTGCAGAGAGGGATGTGTTTTCAGCTTCCCTGCAGGGAGGGAGATCTGCCCTTTGGCCTGCACCCAGCCTGATTCAGCCAGGCTGGGCGTGAGGTTTCCTTCTCTGCTGGAAGCATGGCAATAGGACCACCAAATGGAACCAGCCCCTGACACTCACAAGCCTCCTACAGCACAGAGAGCTTGTGAGGCAGCTCTTTACCTGATGGCCTCTTAAGTCCATGAACGTAAGAGAATTTACATACCAGCTTTGGCCCTGGGAAGTACAACTTCCCAAACAGAAGGTCCATTCTTTTTGATGGCTGTTATAGGGTTGGGAAGTAAATAAAAGCCTAATTGCAGATTGTCTTCTATAAGGATGTGGTGTGAAGATCACACAAAGACACCTCCTATTGAGAGATGACCAATAAACAAAAGAATAATTGTAGCAAACTGGTCTAATGCCTGTACCACAGCACATGCTGACAACTGGTTGGTGTTGTTTATTCCTTCTGAATACACTGGAGACAACTCAAGGTGAGAAGATTTTGTGTTGAGCTGAGCTCACCTGCATCCTCTTGGGAACAAGACAGAATCTGAGGTAACTTGTTACGAGCTTTATATGTAACAGTTTGTCCTATTATTTGCTCTGAAATATCACTGGTCTTAATTAATCATTCACATAGGGAAAACATGAAATGAGTAAGTAGAAGAAGCATTTAGTGCAAACATATTTAACTTACAGTGCCCTGATACTCTTCTGCAATGCAAGATGTATCCATGCATTTGAAGACTGCAAGATCCAACACTTCTAAAATTAAGCCTGAAAGTTGCATGTAAGGCCATCAGAATTTTTTCTTCATTAAAGATGAACTGGTTATGGTTAATGAGGCAAGGTATTCTGTCCAGGAAATATCCAAAATGAAACTCCTACTTTTTACCCACTGTAAAAGACATTTTAAGTAAAAGATACTGGATCTCCTGTAATCCTTCACAAAGGGTTGCTATGGATACTTTGAACAGGATAAGGGGCAACCCGAAGAGTCAGGATTTTTCAGAAAATCTGATATTACAGGAGTAGTGATACATGTCAAGGTGAGAGAGGACATGAGATTTAAGAGATTTCCAGTTTGCCTTTTATTTTCAGATATGGCCTTCTGAATGGCAAATCCTTTGGTATTAGCTCATGCTTCTCAAGCTGTGCAGAGGAATACTGAATTTAATCAGAGCTTTTAGTGAATGTCTGCTGTAACTTTTCCCCTCTGGAAACACCTAAAACTTGAACATGATCTTTAAAGACAATAAGAGTGGATTTCAGTTTTGCTTTCACAAAAAGGTTTCCTCTTTTGCTGTCAGCCTCTCTCCATGTTAAGATCAAGATGGCCAAGCCGCAGCTCTGCACCCCCACACTGCAGGTTGACAAATGCTTGAATTAGTTCAGACAGCACAATGATCCAATTGCCAGTGTAGACATGACATTCAGAGTACACCACTGCTGAAGTTTTGGTGTTCAGTACTGTCAGAATGACTGGTCTTCCCAAGCAGCTCTGACTGTCATACTAACAGAGCTGTGGGTGGGTCGTACAGCTGGCCTGGACTTTCCATGTCTCCTTGGCAAAGCCAGATGTAGGATGCATTTCTGCACCACCTTCTTTACACGCTTGTCCAAAACAGGGACATAGTGTTTAAAGATAAGAAGCATGAATGGAGCCATTATTCTCATCTCCCCACTACCCTCTCTGCCTTTAGAGACAGAAATGTTTTTTCATGCACTCTTCTTAAAGTTGATAGTATTATAGTGTGGTTGCATAGAAGTGCTTTCAGGCTTTGTGACTCAGAAACTACCCAGGTGTTCATGGCATATGAAGTCTGCGCCATGACATTCAGTACATTGGCACGTAGATAATAATTAAACTGCCCAGAATATTCCAACTATACCGCTTTTATAAGTGATTTGAGTCTCAGTATTACCAATTTTAGGTACTACAGACAAAACGCTACCAGAGACCCAGCAAAAGGACAGGCCTTTTTTATTAGAGGTCTATTTGATTGGACCTACCAAATAGAAAATTATTAGTCCCCTTTGCAGCAGAGCCACTGAGACACAGCTAACTTAAACTTTTCAGGCTTGTTTTTCATGTATTAGCCCTTGATTGGTTGCACAGTTGACTTTTCCAAGTAGAGCCTTAAGGAGGAGTTAAAGACATTTCCCAGGGTTTCTAAATACCTTTGTAATGAATCTGAAATTCAGGCAGCTGGAGGTCAGCTTCAAGGCAGACAGAGTTGTCTTCTATCATGGTTTGAAAATGGTAGATCTTTCTTTTTTTATTAGGGACTCGAAACAAACAACAATTTGGAAGAACAGCAAGATAAAAGCTGACCCTGAGGCACAGACAGCAACACAGAAGCACAGAAGTCAGGTGCAGAAGCCAAGTGCCAGGTCCCAAACAGAACTGGAAAGAGGCACTAAAGCACCCAGAGCATCAAGGACAAGTGATGCTGTGTGGAGGGAACGGCTTCACAATGTGGTGGCTATAGCAGTAACTTGGGCATTACTCAAAGGGCAAGGTAGATGATGCTTTGAAGCATGCAAAGTCACTGAATTGTCTGGGGGAGAGAAGTAGTCCCCATGGGCTAATGCTCTCTGGTCCTGTTCACAAGCACTTGGTCTGCAGGCTTCTGGATGCAGCTGGTAAGTGCAGAAGATCCTGCTAGACCTTTCTAACAGGGGTGGGGAGAGATGGTAGTGTCTCATCTCACTACTGTTACTATGAGGGATAAAACAGGGAGTTAGGACTCATAAGTAACTTCTGCCTTTGGTAAGGGTAAAACATGTCTTGAAGACAAATTTTGCTGCTAATGCTTATGGGGGGGAGGGCAGGAAGCGAACAAGAAAACATTTAATTGCATTAACCTTGGCCAGGGCACAAGGTTTACTGTATTGTTTGACTTTCACACCACACAATTCTAACACAATTGTTTTCTTCTAAGTGTTGCAAAAACAGGGCACTGTCACCTTCACCTCCTAGTTTTAATTCCATCTCAAATATTCTTAGGATATTTCTGGTTTATTTCACTCTTATCTGCTACTGAACATCCTAAGTAGCTTATACATATACATATATATAAATTATTCTCAACAAGCTGTAGATGTTCTCTGAGAACTGTGTGACACTAGGACTTGTGGAAGGATGCTGAAACCTGGACAATGCCTTCTGGAGGCTACATTTTTCTACTGCAGAATAAATAAAGAAATAAAGAGCCACCCAGCTGGGAAGCATCTACCTTGTACGGTTCACTGAAGAGGGAGTAACTTGTGTTAAATGCGCCATCCTCCTGCTGGGCCTCCTGATTTCTCCTTTCCCATTCTTTCCTGCGCAGCACGTTTCTATCTGGCTCAAACACACTGC